TTTTGGAGTAAAGACGGAGAAAGCAAACGAATCATTTTTTCTGGTTCCAAAAAATCCCCCAGGGGCCAAAAATTTAAGCACTAAAAAATTGAAAGACACTGTGAAAGAATACATATATGCGACTTTTGCTAAGAGTAATTTGCACACACAGGCCCAAGACTGAGGGGGAAATTTGAATGAAAGTACGGTAATTTGTATTAATATGCGCGCTTTTATCTGCACAAATAATGTACAGATAATTTGGAGACCTTTGCGAAACTTTGCGGATGAGCGTTTCAGACCCATGCAGGATCTGCAGAAATCCTACAGACATCTTCAATAACGGGAGCTACTGGTAAATCAAGAAATTCTGCGCATAATTTTGTTTTAAAAACCCGTATAACTGGAGAAATGCGTAGATAACTCGATAAAGAGATAGGTACATCATCTGTGGATTATTTGTATTCCATATTTTTACATTTATCGTTTCTGAAAAATGGCAAATTCTGATTTATCTTAAACGATCTAATCACTATTGACGCATCAGGTTATAGCCTATTTCAACATTCGTGGCATACACTCAGGCACATGCATGTTTTCCCAGGTGACTTAGTTTTAAAATTCAGTTCAAAAACGGCCAAAAAAAACCTTATTGAGCGCTTCCTCCTCATTTCTCCGCCGCCTTTCCAGTTCCTTGCGGCGCCTGACAAGCTCTGAACCAACAGCTGGACCGGTAGATTCTGTTCGAATTGAAATCTCTTGCGCCTTCCGGTACCCGTCATCACGTGAGCCGAGCAAGGATCGAGCTCGTTGCAATTCTTGCTGTGTATCCTTCTGAAACACTCCTCAGAAATAGTGATGGTAAGCACTTCCGCAAAGTTGCCTGCTCAAAAAATATAGTATGAATGCGAAATCTTAGATTAAAAAATGAAAAAAAAATATATATGTCAGATGTATTTGACACATAGAGAAGCAATCTGTGTTTCATGCCTTAGCTGTAACTCAGAAGTTGCAGTGCTCTTGCGTAGCAGTGGGAATCATCAGTACAGCCTCCAAAACGCCATGTATAGGTGCACATGTTAATGATTTCTAAAACTAAAGTGGGAACATGCGGGGAGGAAAAGAAAAAGAGCAGATGAAGGGAGCGAATAAGAAATAAAATTGGTCAAAAAAAAGACCGAAGGGAATGTAACTTACGAGCACCTCAGACTATCGGAAATTTGAACCCAGGCAATGATACAAAAAGAACAGACAAACAGCCCAAAGTAGGAAGGCTCCCACACAGGCACTACAGGTATCCAAGTCCCTTTCTTTATCGGCCGAAATTCTGTACCAATATTTCGAGTGATATGCATTACTTACAACTTGTTTTGTTACTCGCAACCATTCGT